TGTTTAGCCACAGGCAAACAGCCCAGCAGGAATGGGCTCCTCTGAGTGTCCCCTGAAGAAAAGCACTCTATTTCAACCAGGTGACCATGAATTATATTTCACTCTCCTGAGGATAACACAGAGAGATAAAGAACGGATGTTGTTTGAATGCCAGCAAACATACACTGCAATGCTTTGTTCTACAATGATTCCCGAGTACGTGTTACTGGCCTGGAGTGGTAAAGTGTCCTACCATGAAGGACGCAATAAGGCTGCCCTCCCCAGAAACCTTTTGCAAAGGCTTTAGGACTACATCTAGGAGAACCGCAAATGCCAGGGCAAAGTAATCCTTTCACATGCTTGCTTTTAAACCATGTATAGCATTTTAAAAGGTACACTCACCAGAGGTCCCTTCTCCGCCTGCTGGGTCCAGGAGGCAGCCTTGGGTGGGTTCGGGGGGTACTGGCTCCAGGTCTAGGGTGAGAAACAGTTCCTGGCTGTCGGGAAAACCGGTTTCTCCACTTGCTTGCTGTGAGCTATCTACAACCTCCTCCTCATCATCATCTTCTTCGTCCCCAAAACCTGCTTCCGTATTGCCTCCATCTCCATTGAAGGAGTCAAACAACACGGCAGGGGTAGTGGTGGCTGAACCCCCTAAAATGGCATGCAGCTCATCATAGAAGCGGCATGTTTGGGGCTCTGACCCAGAGCGGCTGTTCGCCTCTCTGGTTTTCTGGTAGGCTTGCCTCAGCTCCTTCAGTTTCACGCGGCACTGCTTCGGGTCCCTGTTATGGCCTCTGTCCTTCATGCCCTGGGAGATTTTCACAAAGGTTTTGGCATTTCGAAAACTGGAACGGAGTTCTGATAGCACGGATTCCTCTCCCCAAACAGCGATCAGATCCCGTACCTCCCGTTCGGTCCATGCTGGAGCTCTTTTGCGATTCTGGGACTCCATCATGGTCACCTGTGCTGATGAGCTCTGCATGGTCACCTGCAGCTTGCCACGCTGGCCAAACAGGAAATGAGATTCAAAAGTTCGCGGTTCTTTTCCTGTCTACCTGGCCAGTGCATCTGAGTTGAGAGTGCTGTCCAGAGCGGTCACAATGGAGCACTCTGGGATAGCTCCCGGAGGCCAATACCATCGAATTGTGTCCACAGTACCCCAAATTCGAGCCGGCAACGTCGATTTAAGCGCTAATCCACTTGTCAGGGGTGGAGTAAGGAAATCGATTTTAAGAGCCCTTTAAGTCAAAATAGAGGGCTTCATTGTGTGGACGGTTGCAGGTTTACATCGATTTAACCCTGCTAAATTCGACCTAAAGTCCTAGTGTAGACCAGGGCTTACAAACAGGCTAAACCTGGGGTGCTTAGACCCATGTTGGTTGGCTCCAACGTGGTCAGGCAGGTATTAGCAATGAACCCCTCTAAGAGTTTGCTTTTTATACCCTTTCACAAACAAGTGATGGCATTGCCAATTACTGTACTGACTTCAGCTAAAAACCAATTTGAGACAATTTACCCTTTTGTCTAGTGTTAATCTAGATAAGATTCACAGCCTCCTTTCTTCCCAAGGCCTTTCCTTTCTTATCTTCTTCCTCCCTCCTTGCTTACCAGCAGAACAGTGGTAAAGGTTTGAGCTTGTTTTGTTTTTCTTTGTCTTGTTACTGCAGTTCTTTTACTTTTGGAACCATACGTCCTTCCCATACTACAGGTAATACTTACCATTCTCACAGCCTTCATTGACCTGCTGATTAGGACCTTTTCCCTCCTGGCCACGAACTATAAGAAAATGTTATTTTCTTAATTAAACTTAGGCTAACTTTAATTCTTCAGTTTTATATGTGTCCTGCAAGTGCTTATATGCCCCCCCATTACATTAGTATCATACAAGTTTTAATGTGTTTACCCTGGACATTCATTTGAGGGAGAGAAGTCTTATTATTTCTGTTTTAGATGGGGAACTGGGAACCAGAGACTTGCCCAAGTTCACACAGGAAGTCTGTGGCAAAGCAGAAAATTGAGCCCATGTCTCCTGAGTCCCAGGCTAGTGCCCTAAGCACTGGACCATCTTTCCTCTCACAATAGGGTTTCTCAGATGAGGAGAGGTGAGTCTCTGCCTTAATCAAGGACCATGTTTTAGAGAAGTTATAGAGGGAGAACAAAGAACAGAACATAAAATATTCATGTTTTTCTTTTTTTAAAATCTCTAAAGGCATTAGGCAGTAATTACAGAAAATCATCTAGGATATCTAAAACCAGTGTAGGAAGGGATACTGGACATGAACAATTCTGTTTTCACCAACTCATTCCTTTTGGCAGAAGTCCTACGATCCCATAGCTGACTTGCCCTGGTTAACTTAACATTTCTAACTACAACAGATGTGAGGACCTCACAGAAATTGTTGAGAGAGCTGAAATGGGAGAGCACTTCAAAAAGTTCTAGTCTGATTAAGTCCTGATCATGCCTGACTGAATTGATGAAACTGGTGATACTAGCCTTGAGGCAGGCCAGAGGAGAAAAGTATGTGCTTGGAATAGAGTTATATAGTGTTTGCCAAAGTTGTAATTACTGACTCAGTGTTTAGAGTCTAGGGTAAGAATATGGGAAGAGAATTGTATGCACAGCATTGCCCCATTGAAGTCTCTGGAAGTTTTGCAATTAAGTTCAGTGGGGATAGAATTTCCCCTTCTGTTATGGGTCCAATAGTCTTTTGGTACTCTTTGCTGTTTGATATATAAAGAAGGCTTGAAAGTTATATTTCTCCTAGTGTTTTACATTTAGAAACTAACACAGAAATAGAGTTTAAACAGTCTGACTAAAAACTCCCACCTCCCCATAGTTGCTTAATTTTCATCTCTTAGGACTCTAGTGATGTTATCTTGCTAGTTCTCCAGTCACTGTAGGATCTTCCAGGCTAAACAGAATTTCTGAGAAGCGGGGGAGGGAACACCTTTTTTTGGAGTGAGGTGGGTAATCAAAATCAAACATCCTTTCAGGCCGTTATATATGACACAGATCTGGTTCAACTCCTGTTGGACACTCACTCGACTGCTATGAGGGGATCCACCTCACTGGGCCCCTTGTGCTTTAAGCCTCCAGAGTCGGAATGGAGTCCAGACACTGTCCCTGGTCTGGGGTCTCTCGGCATGCTATTGGGATACAGATTCTGTCTAGCATCCCATTCTGAGAACAGAGACCCCACAGACCAACTGCCTAGCCCCTGGGACCGTGCTGGCCCCTTAGACTCCATCGCAGTTTAAACATATTCTCTCCCAGAACTCCAGCCATGTTGGAACCCTGGGTTTACAGTTTACCTCTTCAGGGGCATGTGATAGTGAAGTGAACAGACACAGATAGACTTGGCACAGGATTCTAAAACACCATTGTTCTTTACCTAATAGCATGAGAAACACAGATCCATGTAAAATAATAAACACACCTCTAGGCATTTCCCTGCCTCAGGTTTTTCACAACTCTGAAGTGTTCTTTGGGCTTGGGAAGAATCCTCTGGGGTGACTACAATCCTTCCTCTCCAGCTTATGACTTCCCTTCAAAGACACGGAGCCTCCCTCTAGGTCAGCTGTCTCTGACTGGCCAGTTGCAGTTAAACAGCTTTCCCTGGTATGAAAACCTGCCTCTCTCTTTCCCTTCTCCTGCCCAAAGTTCCTGTCCCTGCCTCAGAGAGTCTCTCAAGTTTGTTGCGGCCCCCTACCAACACCTGGTTCCTTTGTTCTGCTGCTGGTGTTCTCCATCTTCGCTTCTTCAGCCCACTGCAGACAAGCTGAAGGAAATAACTTCTCCCTGCTCCAGCCAGCCTCCTTAGCATACCAGTGGTTCAGTCAGAGTGCAGTTGTTAAGGTTAACGACTCTCCATTGTGCCTTGTTGGTACTCAGTCCTTGTCAGTAAGGGATGGATTCCACATTCACCTAGAGGCTTTCCCTGATAAAGCAATTTTCTGATAATTTCATAGTAAAACCAGGATTCTTACTCTGAACAGATAAAGTTCCCAAATTTTCACAACATACAAAGAACCAAGAAGGCACCTGCCCAATTTTTTTTCCACAAGTTATTTTTAAAGGGGAATTGTCAACATGAAAATTGCATTTATGCCTGAATTATACCTATTATGGTTAAGACTACTATATCTGAGAGATTCCTTTTTTCTAATATTTTAGTTTTGTTCATTTTACGGAGTATATTTCACTCTATCCTCTGCATAGTCAGCTAAGCACCAGTCTTGCAAACACTTAGGACTTATGCACGGCCTTAACTTTACACCTTCATTGAATTCAATGGGATTGTTCCCTGCACAAACTTTAAAGAGTGTAAGCATTTGCAGGATCAGGACTTTAGACTCTCTTTCTCTTTATGTGAGGCTGTAACTCAACAACAAAGGATCGGGGGAGGGAGGGGAATTAAGTATTTGCAGAAGTAGGGAATTTCAAATCATAACGATAGGGTGAGGTTCATGGAGAACATTTGAAGCTATTCTAAAATTTTTATTTAAACTGACTAGATTTTTAAGTTGACTGACCCTTGAAATAAACGTAATGGGAAAAGGCATTTTAAAATGGTATTGATCCGGATGTTGTTGGTACTAATAAGCAAAATCAGTTGGATATTTTCTGAAAAGACATATGAAGAATTTAAAAGACAAATTCTGAAAAGACATATGAAGAATTTAAAAAGGAAATAAAATGTTTGCTTTATCGTTTACACTTTATACTGTTGGGCTTAGAAAAGAGAGTTCTTTTTTCGATAGCCCAGGACCAGTGGCTTCGTTGACTTTAGATCAGTATAATTTTGTTACTACAAGTTTTGTAATACACGAAGTACCCAAAAAGTCTTGCCCTAATTCCATTTATTCTTGCTTTCAAGTAGTGCCCTATTCTAAACTAAAATTGTACATTCTTGAGAGTAAACTGATCATGTTCCCAATGGAAATTTCAGGAATACTTGTGGCTATTTTCAAAATGTGGAAATCTATTTATATTTTTTCCATTTGTTTTTTTTCCCTAGGTTTTGGCACTGATTGCATTCATCTGCATAGAGACCATCATGGAATGCTCCCCTTGCCAAGGCCTTTATTTCTTTGAGTTTGTGAGCTGTAGCGCATTTGTAGTTACTGGAGCTTTATTGCTTATGTTCGGTCTAAATCTTCACACAAGAATACCACAGATCAACTGGAATCTTACAGTAAGTTCTCATCCAAATCTTCATATTGCAAAAATAGCTGAATAAACATTTTAAGTTTGTTCTTTAAACTCTGCCCGTCTTTTACTGAAATTTAAGATCCTGAATAAATGCTATGTATACTGAGTAAAATATATATCTTACTTGTGTCCAATATGAACACCCACGGCGTAGTGAGTCTTTGAAAATGTAATGAGATTATGGGATGTTAAATTAAATAAATCTGGAATTGTCTTCTAGCAATTTCTCCTCCTCTGAAAGAGAGCCTTTTTAGCGGTCCCAACATTTATTATTTATGTCTGAGGTGGGAAAAAATACTCTTAAACAGTATAACTTTGAGAAATGCTGTCCAAAAAATAATTAGAAATCCATTTTATTAGATCTGTAAATCAATACAAAAAGTTGTTGAAATGTATGGCAAATACGTTTGTAATAACCTGCTGCTGTTTTTTGACACTCCGAGTGAGGGTATATGCTAAATCGCTTGTAAACATGAATGCAAGCATTGTGTTGTTATGGGGGGAAATTGCACTGTCAGCAAGAAGTCAACTGAGTTAACTAGTTAACTTGGTTACATACCTAGAGACTATAAGAAACAGACTAGCAGTCTTCATGTTCACAAATACAAGAAATTTGGGGGTGGGGAAAAAATTGCCAGAAACACACATTCATTCTGGGTGTATCTTCATTTTCTTGCTTGCTATGAGCCTAACTTTCAGACGTGGTTGCCTGAAATGAGCACGTATGTCAGCATGTAGATCCACTGAGCACCTACATCTGTATTAACTTTTGGACATATCTGTTTACAGCTCATCTGAGGAAATGAGTCTATAGGCTCCTTTGTTCTGGCCTCTGTTCTGTCTTATCACCAGCACTGTAGTAATCTACTATAAGTTGCTGTTGCAGTTGTACATTTAGGCCTGCAGTCCCAGTGGATCAGCCATCCCTAACCTTAGCAAAGCTGCCAGATTTTTGCTGCTCAGTGTGTGACATTTTTTCCAAATTACTTAACAGACAGTTTGCATATTTGCAAACAACTTTCATATATCCATAAACATCAACACATCCAGTTCTGAACCATGCTAGTGGTAGGAAATGGAGATGCACAAAAACTGGCAATTGGGGGATGCATAGCTGCATGGGGGAAAGTGGCTGGGGATACTAGGGGGTTCTGAGGAAGTGACTGGGTCGGAAGGTGGATAAGGGTGAATAGTGTCCGGATAGTAAGCTGAATGAGTTTTGGGAGGAAAGGAAGTTGGGGAAACATGGGGCTTGTGTCAGGGCCCCTCATCTTCTGTCTCCATTCTGGTCTGCCTGCTCCTACCCATGATTCAGCAAGGAGAGGGGAGATGGCTGGCTGCTTGTACCACAATGGCCCCTGACAATCAACAGTAACAATGGCAGGCCATTCTTGTAGCCCAACTGGATGCATGATGTCTCCACTGTGAGGTGGGAATGTCGGGTAGCGCTGCCAATTGCACGAGAAAGTCATGTGTGATAAATAAGACTTGGCAGCTCTGCTTATGATGACCTCATTATTGCCTAGGATGTAGCGTAAATACTAGATTTCATGCATATTACTCTGAAGCAAGCCTGACAATGACTGCTGGGTAATACAGATAGTATTCATGACTCAGCTAAAGACTGCTTCTTGAAGAAGCCCGAACATCTATTTTTTTAAAAAAAATTTCTGATAGAAATAAATCCGCATGTGTGGATCAGAACTGCCCTCGTGTACAGCCACGTAACTCCATTGACCTCAGTGGTTTTGTATAGATAAGCATAAATAATAGTGGGATTTGGCCCTGCATGTTAGTTAGTGCTTTTACTGCTTGCAAGAGGATTTTGACTGGATCATGAATGCACTTGGGTAGAGAAGGTCGACCTGAGGCCCCTCCCCAACCCCCTCCAATAATGCAGTAAATGTGAACTGTTTAAGTACAAGGTCCTTTCAACCACTCTTGGTACTTACTGGTTTGAATAGTCAAGTGATGACAAATATAGTTGTACTCAGAATGAGAAATCCATCTCTAGCATAAGACTCTGATAGAGATCTTTGAAAAGAAGGGATTTAAAATCTATTAACTAAAAATAGAGCGTTTTGTTTGGGTTTTCAGTTTGTTGTATTGCTGTTCTAATAGTGAACTGAAGGTTTATTTTAGGGCTTTATTCCATCTGCCCAAACTAAAAGGTATAATCTCAGTTATATTGTAGTTATGATCTGTAGTACTGGATTTAGTAAGAATTCTTACTGAAGATACTTCCCCTACATTTGCATACATACACAGTAGTGTTTGACATGGGAGAGCTTGTAGCAATACCTGACAGTGTAGTGCATGGACCTACCTTGTATGAAATTGTGATAGACTATTAGTATTCAACTGATTTGACTAGGGTATTTTGACCAAATTTCTATGTCTTGTCTTAAAACACTATGCTGAAGTCTGTCTGCCCATAGGTATTATTTTAGTGAAGTATAAGGTATACAGTACTGTATTGAGTGGCCAGAGTGCAGCCTGAAGGCCACAAATGGAGTGGATTGCAGATGCCCTTGCTTCACTACCTAGGTGTGGTCAACAGAGACATACAGTAATACTTCAGTAGCATTTCTATAGCACTTTCTATTCAAGTATTTCAGTGTGTTTTACAAACACCAAGTAAACTTTGCACTACTACTCTTGTGAGATAAGTACTTTTTATAACCCACATAATAACTGAGACTGTGGCTTGGTCTACACTACCAATTTATGTCAGGATAACTACATCACTCTTAGGGATGTGGAATACCTATGCAGATGGGTGAAGCTCTCCCGTTGGCATAGGTAGCATCTTCACTAAGCACTACAGCACAGTGCTGCAAGTGTAGACAAGTCCTCAGAAGGGTTAAAGACTGGTGTAAGGGCACAGATGCAAATTTTCCAAGGTTATACAGGAAGTCTGTGGCAGAGCTGCAAATAGACCTGGAAATTGCTGACTCCCAGTAATCCAAGACCATCCTTGTTCCCCAGCTCTCCATGTTGAGGTAAGCACCTGCAGGATAGTTTGTTGGGACCTGTGGTCTGGAGAATTCTATGCTGCAATCTTAATAATTAGGATAGTTCCTGGCTGCTCTGGTATGCATGCAAATTGAGGCCTTCAAGCTCCTGGCACAGTTGGGCAAAGTTAGGATGCCCCTGTAGTACAAGAAGAATTTTATCTGTGCTTTCTGGCTACATTGATTTTGTCTTATGCAATTCAGCAATTTCAGATGAAATATGTTTGGTGTTTCTAATATAGGCTGTACACACACATTAACCGTATTTTGTTCATGTGGCAGATTGTGTGCTTTACATTTTTTTCTCAGAGAAAATATTGTGGTGCTTTTTCTATAATCTGACAGTTATTTTAGGAATTATGCCACCTTTCATGTTTGACACAATCTACTAAAAGCATTTTCAATAATGACAACCTTCATAATTTCTCAACAGTGTTCAGGAGCCCATGCATATTCCTATCTATTTACAATTTCATTAGTTTCAGTACCTGTTCAGTTAATCATCAATTTCAGGATGGTGTTTCCTTATCTAAAGACTAACTGAAGGTTTTTGAAGTTTAATGTAACATAGTTACAGAGGCTGCTCTGGCAGTACAGAGGTTCAAATATGCCACATTATTTTTTAGCCTTTTGAGTAATTTGTAGTGTTATGACTCTTTCCTAACCTTATCTGAGATGCAGCCATCTGTATAACAAACTTCCTGTGCAAACAGTTTATCCTCAATAAACCTAGAAATTAAAGAAGAAAATAATTAGGTCATCTAGTTCACTCCCATGGGCCCTGTAGTATGTTGTAAAAATTGGTCTTTCTTTATGGATCAGTTGATCAATGCCCCAGCATTTTACCATGGGCCATAGATGGTAGCAAACTGGGCATCTGTGCCAGCAAAGATGCATCAGCTGCTGCTGGTTGGGTGTAGCAAACTGAGATTATGCAGATTTTCAGTAAATAACCTTTTTTCATTTAATATCCGGAAACATTGAGACTATGTCTTCGTTTTAACCCCCATTCTATCTGTTCATTGAAATAGTACTTGAAACCCATAGCCTACAGCATAAGAGTACAGCATACAAATATCGTGTTTTCTTTGGGGAGCAAATTTGCATCTGTGCCCTTACACCAGTCTTATCCATAACTAGGCCAGCCTGTTAGTGACAGTAATCCTTACTAGCAACACCAGTGTTTGCCACAATAAGAAAAAATGCTCCTCTGTCTATGGTAAAAATGCACCAGTCTGCTAACATCTAGCATAGATAAGCAAATATTACAAAATACATCATTTTGTGGCTCTTACATTTTCAGCCATTTCAGCAACAGTGTTTTGTTTTCATCCTAATTAGAAATGCAACTGCCACCTAAATGTTATTGAGATGCAGTCTATGAAAGGAACGTGGGATTTCTGGAGCTAGGAAAGAAACTTCTCTGGAAAGAGCTAAAAATTGTATATCTGTGACAGTGAGATAAAAAAATGGATCAGTCATTCCTCTGTACTGCGTAGGATTATCAACATTACCATGAGATGTGAGGACTTGGGGGAAATGACCATGGAAATTTCCATTTCCCTCAGTGATACACAGCTGAGATGTTCATGCTATTTTGCAAGGATACTTGAACGTAGCATCAAGGAATGTGATGTATGCTTCTACACATGTTCCAGATATCCTATAGGCATTGTAACTGCTTAGAAATGTTTCAAACAAATTACTCATAACAAAGTGGTTAGTATAACTACATTTGGTAAAGTGTGTTCATTATCTGTTTATTATTTGAATCATAAGCTACTTGGACAGGGTGAAATACATAAGTGAGGTACAAGTGGAATTTGTTGTGGGTTTGCATACAGAGGGTCATAGTTTGGCAGAACTATGTTGAAACACACAATGACATGGAACACAAACAAGGATTGTATGACTAGTTAGGACCAAGAGTGGAAAATGTAACAAAAGAACATAAAATCTAGAAGTTTTG